ATCCTTCCACCTATCCATCTATCTATCCATCTATCATCACCGCACCATCCATTCCATCCATACTATAAACCCACCATCCTTACCACCTTCAGCCATCGATCATCCAACTATTCACCCATCCATCCTTCCCACCACATCCATGCGATCCATCTTATCAACCCTCCATACTCCACGCCATCCACCATCAACGACCATTCCATCCTTTCACACCAATCCATCGATCCATCTAATCCACCCACCCATGCCTATCATTCTATCAACCCATCCATCCTTCACCTATCCATCTATCAATCCATCATCCATCCATCTATCCATCCCACCCACCCATTCCATCCATCCATCTATCAACCCATCCATCCTTCCACCCATCTATCGCATCCATCTATCCATCCCACCCCATCCATCCATCCATCTATCAACCCGTCCATCCTTCCACCTATCCATCTATCTATCCATCTATCCACCCACCCATCAATCCATCTATCCACCCACCCATCCATCTATCCATCTATCCACCCACCCCATTCATCTATCCACCCACCCATCCTCCATCCATCTATCAACCCCATCCATCCTTCCACCTATCCATCTATCTATCCATCTATCCACCCACCCATCCATCCATCTATCAACCCATCCATCCTTCCACCTATCCATCTATCAATCCATCTATCCACCCACCCATCCATCCATCCATCTATCCACCCACCCATCCATCCATCCATCTATCAACCCATCCATCCTTCCACCTCCATCGATCCATCTATCCACCCACCCATCCATCCATCCAACCCACCACCATCCATCTATCCACCCACCCATCCATCCATCCACTATCACCCATCCATCCTTTCCACCTATCCATCTATCACCATCTATCCCCACCATCCATCCACCCATCTATCAACCCATCCATCTTCCACCCATCCATCGATCCATCGATCCACCCACCCATCCATCTATCAACCCATCCATCCTTCCACCCATCCATCTATCCACCCACCCATCCATCCATCCATCTATCCACCCACCATCCATCCATCCATCTTATCAAACCCACCCATCCATCCATCCATCCATCAACCCATCCATCCTTCCACCTATCCATCTATCTATCCATCTATCCACCCACCCATCCATCCATCCATCTATCAACCCATCCATCCTTCCATCCATCCATCTATCAACCCATCCATCCTTCCACCCATCCATCGATCCATCTATCCACCCACCCATCCATCCATCCATCTATCAACCCATCCATCCATTCTATCCATCCATCTCCATCTATTCCATCTATCATCCATCTATCCACGACCACCATCCATCCATCCATCTATCAACCCATCCATCCTTCCACCCATCCATCGATCCATCTATCCACCCACCCATCCATCCATCTATCAACCCATCCATCCTTCCACCTATCCATCTATCCATCCACCCACCTATCCATCTATCCACCCACCCATCCATCCATCTATCAACCCATCCATCCTTCCACCCATCCATCTATCAACCCATCCATCCTTCCACCTATCCATCTATCAATCCATCTATCAACCCATCCATCCTTCCACCCATCCATCGATCCATCTATCCATCCACACATCCTCCCATCACTATCAACCCATCCATCCTTCCACCTATCCATCTATCAATCCATCCATCCACCCACCCATCCATCCATCCATCTATCAACCTATCCATCTATCTATCCACCCACCCATCCATCCATCCATCTATCAACCCATCCATCCTTCCACCTATCCATCTATCAATCCATCTATCAACCCATCCATCCTTCCACCCATCCATCGATCCATCTATCCACCCACCCACCCATCCATCCATCTATCAACCCATCCATCCTTCCACCTATCCATCTATCCATCCACCCACCCATCCATCTATCAACCCATCCATCCTTCCACCTATCCATCTATCCATCCATCCATCCACCCATCCATCCATCCATCTATCAACCCATCCATCCTTCACCTATCCATCTATTCCATCCATCATCCATCCACCCATCCATCCATCCATCTATCCCATCCATGCCCATCATCCACCATCCACCTCCACCCATCCATCACCCATCCATCCTTCCACCTATCCATCTATCCATCCATCCTACCCACCACCACCCACCCATCCATCCATCCATCAACCCATCCATCCTTCCACCTATCCATCTATCCATCCATCCATCCACCCATCCACCTTACCTCAGGTCCAGAATCGTTCGAGTTGACACTTGACACAAACTCCTTCAGGAAACCGTCAAGTTCAGAGCCCTCAATGTAGCCGTTACCTGGAGAGAGGAGGAGAGAGAGGAGGGAGAAGAGGAGAGGGAGAGAGAGGGAGAGAGAGAGGGAAGGGAGAGGGAGGGAGAGAGAGAGAGGAGGGGGTGAGGGAAGATGGGGAGGGGAAGGATGGGGAGGGAGAGAGAGAGGGAGAGAGAAAGGGAGGAGGGAGAGAGGAAGAGAGAGAGAGAGGAGAGAGGAGAGAGGGAGAGAGAGAGAGAGAGAGGGAGAGAGGAAGGGAGGAGGGAGGGAGAGAGGGAAGGGAGGGAGAGAGAGAGGGAGAGAGGGAAGGGAGGAGGGAGGGAGAGAGAGAGAGAAAGGATGGGGAGAGAGAGAGAGGGAGAGAGAGAGAGAAGGATGGGGAGAGAAGGGAGGAGGGGAGAGAGAGGGAGAGAGAGAGAGGGGGTGAGGGAGAGAGGGAAGGGAGAAGGGAGGAGAGAGAGAGAGGGAGAGAGGGAAGGGAGGAGGGAGGGAGAGAGAGAGAGAGGGGGTGAGGGAAGGATGGGGAGGGGGAAGGATGGGGAGGGAGGAGGGAGAGGGGAGGGAGAGGAGAGAGAGGGAGAGAGAGGAGAGGGAGAGGGAGAGAGAGAGAGAGGGAAGGGAGGAGGGAGGGAGAGAGAGAGAGGGGGAGGAGGAGGGGGAAGGATGGGGAGAGGGAGGGGGAAGAGGGGAGAGAGGGAGAGAGGGAAGGGAGGAGGGAGGGAGAGAGAGAGAGAGGGGGGAGGGAGAGGGAGGGAGGGAGAGAGAGGGAGGGGGGAGGATGGGGAGGGAGAAGAGAGGAGAGAGGGAGGAGGAGGGAGGGAGAAGAGAGGAGAGGGGGGAGGGAAGGATGGGAGAGATAGGGAGAAAGGGAGAGAGGGAGAGAGGGAAGAGGAGGAGGGAGGAGAGAGAGAGAAGAGAGGGGGTGAGGGAAGGATGGGGAGAGAGAGGAGAGGGGGGGAGGGAGGGAGGGGAGAGGGAAGGATGGGGAGGGAGGAGAGGGGAGGAGGGAGTGGGAAGGATGGGGAGGGGGAAGAATGGGAGGGAGAGGGAGGGAGAGAGAGAAAGAGGGAGAGGGAGAGAGAGAGAGAGAGAGAGAGAGAGAGAGAGAGAGAGAGAGAGAGAGAGAGAGAGAGAGAGAGAGAGGGAGAAGAGGAGAGAGAGAGAGAAATAATTAATAACGAAATAAACTATGATGATTTAATAATTCTAAATGTAATGACAATTTTCATGACAAATATCATCATGATATATTACAGTAACTAGAATATTAAGCGTGAAAGTAATTTTCAATCGTTCAATTCAGTAATTTTTAATCGTTCAACTGAAATATTATTCAATTCATTGTTTTTTTTTTCTACTTGAAGAAAATTGAAGAAATTGAAGACATATTTTGAATTCTGAAGCAAGCGAAAATTTGATAAAACATTTGAATCTTGAAATTATTTGAATTTTGTTGAAGAAAAGATGATATGAAAAATGTATATAAATAAAATCAACATACCACTACTAAGAATTAAAAAGAAAATATAAACACCCACCCGAAAAAAAGTAATAAATTCACTATCGTCATCATAGCGACTTTAAACTTCCATAAAATGATTGGCGGTGATTTTTTTTTTATACATTCAAATAAAATTCACAAAAACTGAGAGTCGTTTTATTTTTTTATCAATCAATCAAGGTGAATTTATCTAAATCAATCTCTATCATAAATCAAACAATATAAACCCTCATCCGAAAAAACTAATAAACTCACCATCGGCATCATAGTGACTCCACACTTCCATAAACTGATTGGCGGTGAGTTTTTTTTTTATATACAATCAAATAAAAATTCCAAAATCTGATAGTCGTTTTTTTTATTTATTTAATCAATCAATTAAGGTGAATTTATCGATATCTAACCCTACCATAAATCAAACAATATAAACCCTCATCCGGAAAAACAAATAAACTCACTATCGGCATCATAGTGACTCCACACTTCCATAAGTTGATTGGCGTTGATTTTTTTAATATATACAATTAAATAAAAGTTCCAAAAACTGATAGTATTTTTATTTAATCAATCAATCAAGGTGAATTTATCTAAATCAATCTCTACCATAAATCAAACAATATAAACCCTCATCCGAAAAAGCTAATAAACTCACCATCGGCATCATAGTGACTCCACACTTCCATAAACTAATTGGCGGTGAGTTTTTTTTTTTTTTTATACAAGCAAATAAAAATTCAAAAAACTGATAGTGTTTTTTTTATTTAATCAACCAATCAAGGTGAATTTATCCAAATCAATCTCTACCATAAATCAGACAATATAAACCCCCATCCGAAAAAACTAATCAACTCACCATCGGCATCATAGTGACTCCACACTTCCATAAACTGATTGGCGGTGAGTTTTTTTTTATACAATCAAATAAAAATTCCAAAAACTGATAGTGTTTTTTTTTTATTTATCAATGAATCAAGGGAATTTATCCAAATCAATCTCTACCATAAATCAGACAATATAAACCCCCACCCGAAAAAACTAATCAACTCACCATCGGCATCATAGTGACTCCACACTTCCATAAACTGATTGGCGGTGAGTTTTTTCAGCTCTCTCGACTCGTCATCTCGGAACTGGCGCATAAAGTTGTTGCACTTTTCTTGTGAAGACATCTTGCGTTCCTCGTCTGTAAGGCCGGCGAACCCTGCTGCCATGCTGCGGGGTTGTGGTAGGTTGTAGTGGGGGTTGTGGGGGAATTTGGGAGGTTTGGGGGGAATTTGGGGGAGTATTGGGAGTTTGGGGGATTACGGAAGGTTGTGGGGGGATTATGGGGGTTGTGGGAAATTTGGGGTTGTGGGGAAATTTTGGGAGGTTGTGGGGGGGGTAATTTTGTGGGGTTTTGGGAATATTGGGAGTTTTTGTGGAGGAAATTGGGGATTTTTGGGAGTTGTGGAGGGAATTTGGAAGGTATTGGGACAGAATTTTGGGGGTTGTGGGGGAATTAGGCAATTGTGAAGGAATTTTTGTGGTTGTGGAAATAGGTTACAGTAGGTTGTAGGTTGTGGGAGAAAAAAATCAAGAAAAGAAACGAGTTAGGGGTGACGGCATAGAAAACGGTAATCGTCAAAGAAAACGGGAATTATCAAAGAAAACGGGGACTGTGGAATTGTGATACATTAGCGATTTAAAACTATTGAATGTTTATTCTTAATTCCGTTTCTTTGAGAATAATGTGTATGTACATAAGCTTGCATTTGTATGTATGTGTGTACATGTGTTTGCATCTGTCAGTATGTGTATACATGTGTACAAATGTTTGTATGTGTGTTTGCATATGTTTATGTGTGTATGTATGTGTACAAATGTTTGCATGTGTGTTTGCATGTCTCTGTGTGTATGTATGTGTACATATGTTTGCATGTGTGTTTGCATATGTTTGTGTGTGTATGTATGTGTGTTTGCATATATCTGCGTATGTATGTGTACATATGTGTGCATTTGTGTTTGTATGTATTTTGTTTGTATGTGCATGTATATGTACATATGATTACATGAGTATTTGCATATGCCTGAGCGTGTATAATGTGTACATGTATGTATATATGCTTCTTTTGGTAGGTCTGCCTCCATTTCCCCCTCGGATACTAATACAAGACTCTATTTCCCCCGGGGGTGTCAACAAACAATTTTTTGCACTTTTGAAAAAAAAAATAAAGATCATTGTATTTACGACAATGATAATAATGAAAATAATTATATAAATATATATGATAGTAATAATGATGATAATTATATTCATAATGGTGATTATGGTGATAAAGAATTGATGGTAGTAATATAAACACACATGAATCCGCATGAATCCGTATGAATCCACGAACGACCAAGGAGCGTCGTAGTTCATAAATTCGTTGCCATGGAAACGAGTCTGTTTACCTTGTTGGTAAGAAATATGACAAAGAAAAAGAAACAAAGAAAGGGAGGGAGAAAAAGAGAGGGAAAGACAGAGAGAAGAGAGAGAGAGAGAGAGAGAGAGAGAAGAGAAAGGGAGGGAGGAAGGAGAGAGAGAAAAGAGAGGAGAGGGGGGGGGGGGGAGAGAGGGAGAGAGAGAGAGAGAGAGAGAGAGATATATTATATATATATATATATATATATATATATTATATATATATATATATTGTTATTACAAATAATTATCTAAATCATAATTAATATTATCATCATTATTACAATTATTATCATTATTATCATTATATTGTATCACTATTTTCATTACCATCATCATTATAACTTATCATCATCATTTCTATTATAATTTTTCTAATTATTATCAATATTATTATTATTACTGTTATTATCTTTATCATCATCATTATAACTATCATTATATTAAATTATTAAACATCATTATCATTCTCTCTCTCTCTCTCTTTCCCCTATCCCTCATTTTCATAATTCCCCCTTCCATCTCCTTCCAGCCCCTCCTCACTCTCCCTTCCTTCCCCCTCTCCATCTCTTCCCTTCCCCTCTCCTCCCACCCCCTCCTCTCCCCCTCCCATTCTCCTNCCTCGCTCCTCCCCTCACCTCTAACTCTCTGCCTCCTCTCACTCTCCCCCTCTCCCACCCTCCCATCGTCCTCCTTTTTTTCCTCCCCCCCCCCCGTCTCATCCCTTCTCCTCCCCTTTCCCCCCTCGCCCCTCCTTGTCCCCTTCGCTCTCCTCCCCCTCCCTCCTCTCTTCTATGTCTTAATACCTCAGTACCTCTCTTTCCTCATTCCGCAGTCTCTCATTTCTCATCCTCGGGTCAGTTCTATAATATAAAATCTAGTCTTATTCATTTTTTCAGCCTCACTGTTGATGTAGAAGTTACACCATGCTCTTCGAGCAACGGACGCCCCAAAAATAAGTGGATCATTTGACCTTCTTGGCTTCGAAAAAGACCTTCTATCCATGGCAGAGTCCGCAGAACAATTTTTGTCCAGTTCTTGAGCCTTCTGGTGTGCAGGCTGCGCCTGAGTGTGAAGACGCGGAATAACTGCAAATTCCATCACCATTCATTGGCCAAATGTTGAACACAACTCCCCTATCAGTCAGCTCATCCCTTTTCCGGCTCTATTTGTCCTCTTGCTTCTTCCATCCCTTGCTGTCCACGAGGGAGGCGTTTTTATTGCAGAATTTCAGTCGAGGTTTATGTCGTCTCTTTCCGCTCCCGTCGTTTTCTAGGCGCGGTTCTCTATCGGCTCCTGTTTTCTCCGGCGTCTTCTTCCCGTCCGGGTTTCTTGTCGGGCTTTCCGTCGCCTCTCTCTCTTCTGTTCTGTCTTCCTTCCTCTCGTGGTTTTGTGTCGTTTCCTGTCGGGTTTGCGTTTCCTGTGGGTTTGTCGTTCTTCTTCTCGGTTGTCGTTTTTCTTGCAGGTATAGGTATTGTCTGTTCTTTCTGTCGACGTTTCTTAGTCGTTTTCTGTCGGGTTTTGTCGTTTTCTCTCGGGTTTTGTCGCTTTTCTCTCGGGTTTTGTCGGTTTTCTGTCGGGTTTTCGTTTTCTCCTCGGGTTTTCGTTTTCTCTCGTTCGTTCGTTCTTCTTCTGGGTTTTGTGTCGTTTTCTCTCGGGCGTTTTGTCGTTTTTCTCTTTGGTTCTGGTCGTTTTCTCTCTCGGGGTTTGTCGTTTCTCTCTTGATTCTCTCGGGTTTTATCACCTCGAGGTAGATCTATTCTTCTAAACGACAAAAGGGACAGAGTTTAGGCGCTATATCTTTCGTGTGATGGTATATACACCGTGTATTCTGGACTTACGTCGTGGCCCTAAATGAGAAAGTCTTAATTTGATGTCTTTATGGCTGAGTTCGAGCGCGTGTGGTCTGTGTCAGCACTTAACCTTATATAGATTTAGAAGCTTCTTAAATGGTTCTTATGTAATCTGCTAAATTATTCCGCTCTCAACTACAACTCTCTAACATCGAGTCCAATTATATATCTATTACCGTCTCTAATTTTAAAATGCATGTTTGTATGTGTTTTAACTGCATGTGTGCGTGTGTTTGTTTGCTGCATGTGTATGTATGATATTTGTGTACTTGTAGTATATTTGTATGTATGAATGTGCGTATTTTATGTATGCATTTTATGTATGTCTATATGTATGTATGTATGTATGTATACCTGCATGTATATATGTATGTATAGACATTATGTAAGTAGATTGCTGAAAGATTCGTAATGCTGGGGTTAAAATGGAATGGATGAAATAGATATGGTTATAATAAGATATATCTTATAATAATTACTTTTACCAGCCACCTTGTACATAGTGGAGACATTAGTTCATATCCCTGAACAATGCCTGCGGTTGAAGAACAAGCAAATGCGCTTAAGAACAATATTTTTTTGTTCAACAGTCACTCAAGGTTTTATCAGCTTAACACAAGGCTTCCTGTATAAAACAATATAGAAAAAAAATGTATGACTGATTGTTATATTTTATTTCAGTTGTATTTTTTAAAATCTATTTTTTAGTAACATAAGTGAAGTACCTTATCATAGCTCGTGTAATACGTCACTGGATTTGTTTATCATTATTATCATAAACACATGGAAAGATAAGATTAATTTCTTCCGATAGGGCTATCGTATGTGTGTGTGTGTATACGTATGTATAACATACATACACACACACACACACACACACACACACACACACACACACACACACACACTATATATATATATATATATATTATATATATATTATATATATATATATATATATATATATATATACTTATACATATATACATATATATAATATATAATATATAATATATGATATATATATATATATTATATATATATATAAATACATATATTATATATATATATATATAATATATAATATATATATATATATATATATATATATATATATATATACATATTTATATATAGAGATATATATACATATATAGAAATAGAAACATATGTACATAAAAACAGAGAGAGAGAGAGGAGAGCGAGAGAAGAGAGAAAGAGAGAGGAGAGAAGAAGAGAGAGAGAGAGAGAGAGAGAAGAGGAGAGAGAGAGAGAGAGGAGAGAGAGATAGAGGAGAGAGAGGAGAGGAGAGAGAGAGAGAGAGAGAGAGAGAGAGAGAGAGAGAGAGAGAGAGAGAGAGAGAGAGAAGAAGAGAGCGAGTGAGTAGAGGAAAAGAAAGACGCGAAGCACAGCATAATTAATATAAGGCCTTTCCACCCCAAACATATAATTTATGAAACGCTCTAGATCCCCCCGCAGTTTGAAAATAATCTCTTAATACATTTCGGTGTAAATATTGTTCCAACTCGGACCATGTAACAAATCTAAATTCAATCTACCCAAAGTATCTCGTTTATATGCAAAACATAATTATACAGGCAAACGGGTACCAACTGTTTTTTTTTCGTGTGGAATATTTATGAGATTTCACGTATTCAGCAACGTGACAACAGATGCAGAACATCACGAAACGTTTTTTTAAAATAAACGTGTAAAATTGCATAATCAGGAAAGATTTATATAGTAATCATTGTTAAATTTTATGCACTATATTCTATGTATATATTTCTACACATGAACACATATATGCGTGGGTGTATATGTATTTTGCACATATAAATACATCTCTTTACATTCTTATGTCTCTCTGCTTGTATGCAAGTATGCTTCTCTCTCTCTATCTATCTATCTT